TCTATAGGAATGAGCATTGTCCTTAAATGAGCTGTTCCTTTTAAGTCAGTATTTCATACTATTACCATAATGGGATGTTTCCAGTTTTGTTATTTAAAGTTAAGATTAGGAGGGGAAAAAAGGTTTCAGTTTCTTCTACCTGTAACTTTAGTTTCACAAATATACTTGCTGAGTTGTTGTCATCAGAGAAGCTCGAAAGTCAGTGAAACATAAGGAATTCAGAATATATAGAGAGCTATACAGGCATTTGCCCAGAGATGCTAGAATAACCTTCCATTTTTCTAACGCCTTATAATCTGTACCCAACTACATTACCTTTAAATTTAAGGGAAAAATAAAACAATTTTAGAAAAAATAAGACTTAAGTACTATAGAAGGATGGACTTGTGAAGGATACTGAAACCAGAAAGGAAAAATAGGTTACAGTAATCAAATGTAAGAATATAAATTGGTGGATAAATCTAATTGAACTATATAAAAACCACACTAGTAAAATAGTAAATAGAAGATGCAAAATAGTAAAATAGTAAAAAGTAAATAGTAAAGTAAAAAGTAAAAAGAAGATGCAATTTGAGAAGGGAATAATTGGCATTAAGCATGTGACCTCATATTATTTCTGGAGAGCAAATGCTATATATTATATACATAAATACACACGTTCTCTGATGGGATAAATAAGAGAATTACCTAGTGATAAAAAGAACAATTAACCAAGAAGATAACAGTTTTTAACTTGTTCTTAGCTCGCAATAGCCTCAATCTTTATAAAGCAAAAATTGACAAAATTAAAAGAACTTTCCAAATCTTAAGTAATGGCGAAAGAATCTAACATTTCTCTCAATAATTGATAGATCAAGAAGATAAAAGTAAGAATATAAATGATTTGAACATAGTTAACAACCTTGATTCTACTACACACATAAATATTTAGTGGCTCAGCACATTTTAGAGAGCATCTGCTGTATCTAGACACTATTTTAATCACTCAGGGAACCAGAAGTTAACACATTTGGCCAAGTTCCTGTCTTCATACAGCTTACATTCAACTAGGAGGATAATAGGTGACAATAAGTGAACTGATAAATATATGATATACTAAATGGTGAAAAATGCTATGAAGAAAAATAAAGCAGGGTAAAAGAGATAGAGAAATCCAAAGTGGTGGGGAGGAAGGTTGCTACTTTATGTGTAGGATATTCACGGAAGCTTCACTGTAAGGTTATATTTGATTAGACCTGCATAGGCTGGATATCGTAAGGAAGGAGTCATGTTCTGTGTGTGTTTTGAAGGTAATAGCAACATGATTAGTTGGTAAATTGAATTTGAGATATGAAAGAAAGAGAATCATCAAGGATAATTGTTAAGTTTTTGTCTGAACCACTGGAAGGATGGGGTTGTCATTTCTTTTAGGGAAAGAGAGAGCTAGAAGTTTTGTTTGGTTGATTCTGGGAACTTAACCCTGTTTCTCCTATTTGTGTATTGTCTTTTAGCTTTCTTGCTACTGTCTTTCTATAAAGTCTAAATTACCCATATCATCTCTGGTTGTTTGTATTTTTGGTGTTATATCTAAGAAAGTCTTACCTAGTCCAAGGTCATGAAGATTTAAACCTGTATTTTCTCCTAACAGAGTTATAGTTTTAGCTCCTAAGTTCATGTCTTTGATCCATTTTGATTAATATTTGTATATGATGATAGATCCAGCCAAAATTTATTTTGCATGCACATGTCTGGTTGTTCAGCACCATTTGTTGAAAGGACTATATTTTCCCAACTGAATTGTCTTTGGTACTCTTTCCTAAAATCAATTGATGTAAATTTGAGTTTATTTCTATTCAGTTCTATTGCATTGATCTGTATGTCTATTCTTATGTCAGGAACACAGTTTTTTTTCTCCTTTATCTTTGACTTTTTTTTAAATTGAAGTATAGTCAGTTATAATGTGTCAATTTCTGGTATAGAGCACAATGTCCCAGTTGTGTGTATGTGTATGTATGTATATATATATGTTTTCATATTCTTTTACATTAAAGGTTATAAGATATTGAATATAGTTCCCCATGCTATACAGAAGAAAACTTTTAATCTATTTTTATATATAGTGGCTAACATTTGCAAATTTCAAACTCCCAAGTTTATCCCTTCCCACTCCCTTTCCCCCAGTAACCATAAGATTATTTGCTGTGTCTACAAATCTGTTTCTGTTTTGTGGATGAGTTCATTAGTGTCCTCTTTTTTTCTTTTTTTAGTTTCCACATATAAGTGATATCATATGGTATTTTTCTTTCTCTTTCTCTGGCTTACTTCACTTAGAGTGACATTGTCAAGTTCCATCCATGTTTCTGCAAATGGCATTATTTTATTCTTTTTATGTCTGAGTAGTATTCCAGTGTATAAATATGCCACAACTTCTTTATCCAGTCATGTGTCAGTGGACTTTTAGGTTGCTGTCATGTCTTGGCTATTATAAATCGTGCTGCTATGAACATTGGGGTGCATGTGTCTTTTTGAATTAGATATCCCATGCTCTTGGATTGCAAGAATCAGTGTTGTTAAAATGGCCATACTGCTGAAGGCAATCTACAGATTTAATGTGATCCCTATCAAACTACCCAGGACATTGTTCACAGAACTAGAACAAATAATCCTAAAATTTATATGGAATTACAAAAGACTCAGAATTGCCAAAACATTACTGTAGAAAAAGAACGAAGCTGGAGGACTAACCCTCTCAGACTTCAGACAATACTACAGAGCTACAGTAATCAAACTGCATGTTATTGGCATTAAAAGAGACATATGGATAAATGGAACAGAATAGAGAGCCCAGAAATAAGCCCACAGACCTGTGGTCAATTAATCTTTGACAAAGGAGGCAAGAATACACATAAAGAACAGTCTCTTTAGCAAGCGTTGTTGGGAAAACTGGACGACAGCATGTAAATCAATGAAGTTAGAACATTCCTTCACAGCATACACAAAAATAAACTCAAAATGGCTTAAAGACTTAAATATAAGACAAGACACAATAAAGCTCTTAGAAGAAAACATAGGTAAAACATTCTCTGACATAAATCTTAGCAAATATTCTCCTAGGACAGTCTACCCAGGCAATAGAAATAAAAGCAAAAATAAACAAATGGGCCCTAATTAAACTTAAAAGCTTTTGAACAGTGAAGGAAACCGTAAGCAAAACAAAGTGACAACCTATGGAATGGGAGAAAATTTTTGCAAGTGATGCGACTAACAGAGGCTTAATTTTCAGAATATATAAATAGCTCATACAACTTAATAAAGAAACCAAGCAACCCAGTCCAAAAGTGGGCAGAAGACCTAAACAAGCAATCCAGTGAAAACATACAGATGACCAATTCACACATAAAAAGATGTTCAATATCACTAGTTATCAGAGAAATGCAAATCAAAACTGCAATGAGGTATCACCTCACACGAATCAGAATGGCCATCATTAAAAAGTTCACAAACAATAAATACTGGAGAGGATGTGGAGAAAAGGGAACCCTCCTACACTGTTGGTGGGAATGTAGTTTGGTGAAGCCATTATGGAAAACAGTATGGAGATTCCTTAAAAAACTGTAAATAGATTTACCATATGATCCAGCAGTCCCACTCCTGGCCTATATCCAGAGAGAATTCTTAATTCAAAAACATAACACACTGTTTTGATTACTGTAGCTTTATTGTAAGTTTGGAAATCAGGAAATTTGAATCTTCTGGCTTCTTGTTCTTTTTGAAGATTTTTTTTAGGTATTTTCTTAGTCACTTGAATTTCCTTGTGAATTTAGGATTGTCAATTTATTCAAAAAAGGCAGCTGGGATTTTGATAGGGATTGTATTGAATATGTAGATCAATTTAGAGATTATTGCCATCTTAACAATACTAAGTCTCCCAATCTGTGAAAATGAGTGTCTTTCTATTTGTTTAAGTCTTTAATTTCTCTCAATAATGATTTGTAGTTTTCAGTGTGCATATCTTCTTTTTATAAATTTCTAAATATATGTATTTGCCAAATGCTTTAAGTTGATATTGTGTGTTTTTTTCTTTGTTTTATTAGTATGGTGTACTACATTAGTTGATTTTCATGTGTTGAAACAACTTTACGTGTTTGGGATGAATCCCACTTGGTTATAATGTGTTATGCTTTTTATATGCTAATGGATTTAGTTTGCTAGGATTTTATTAGGATTTTTGCATATATATTAACCGGAACATAGATCTGTTGTTTCCTTTTGACATCTTTGGTTTTTGTTACCAGAGTAATACTGTCCTCATAGAATGATTTAGGAAATGTTTCCTCCTCCATATTTCTTTGAAAGAGTGTGTAGAGGATTGATGTTAATGTTTTTTAAACATTTAGTAAAATTCACCAGTGAGGCCAACTGGATTTGACTTTTATTTCTGGTAAGTTTGGTTACTAATTCAGTCTCTTTATTTGATATATAAAATAAATTCAAATTGAATTGTCCAGTTTGACTTTACTCAGTTTAAGTCTTCTCTCTTTTTTTTCTTTGTCAGTCTAAATAGTGATTTGTCATTTTTGTTGACTTTATCAAAGAACCAGTTTTTGGTTTTATTGATTCCTTCCATTGTTTTTATTTTTTCTATTTCATTTTTCTCTGCTCTAACCTTTATTATTTCACTTCTTATACTGGCTTTGGAATTTGGTTTGCTTTCCTCAGGGTTTCTTGTGGTGTAAAGTTAGATTATTGATTTGGGATCTTCTTTATTAATATTGGGCATTCACAGCTATAAATTTCCCTCTGAGCATTGTTTTCTCTTTGTCCCTTACATTTTTGTATGTTTTTGTTTTCACTTGTCTTAAAACAGTTGCTTTCCTTTGTGATTTTTTTCTTTTACCTTTAGTTATTTAGGCTTCTACTCTTTAATTTCCACAAGTTTATGGATTTCTCAAATTTCTTTCTTAAAGATTTCTAATTTTATTCTGTGTGGTCAGAAATCATACTATATATGCTTCGATACTTATATATTTTTTGAGACATGTTTTATGCCTAATATATAATCTGTCCTGGAAAATGTTCCACGGGTACTTGAGAAGAATGTCTAGTTTGCTATTGCTGGATTGAGTGTTCTATAGACGTCTTTTAGGTCTAGCTGAATTATAGTGTTGTTTAAGTCTTCTATTTCCTAGCTGATCTCTCTGTTACACATTACTGAAAATTGAGTTTTGAAATATTCAGCTATTATTATTGAATTATATTTTTTACTTTTCAGTTCTGTCATTTTTTGCTGTATATATTTCGGGGCTCTGTTGTCAAGTACTTATTATATATTTATATCTTCTTGATATAGTGACCCCTTTTCTTTGTAAGGTGTCCTTTGTATCTAGTAAGAATTTTTTTGTTTAAAGTATAATCTTTTCTGATTTTAGTATAGCCATTCTAGCTCTCTTGGTTATTATTTACATGGTATATCCTTTTACTTTCATTGTGTTTGACCCTATAGTGAGTCTCTTGTAGACAGCATATGGTTGGATCATATTTTTTATCCATTCTGCCAATTTCTCCTTACAATTAAAGAAGTGATCCATATATATGTGTCTGTACATATGAATACGTTACATGATAATCTCTTAATATTTATTGAATGTATGCATATTTGTTGAATGAATGAATGAACAAATAAATCATTCTTATGTAGGTCCATACAATCAAAAATAGTAAATAAAAAATTACAATACCAAATTCAGCAATGTGTATATGTGTTTCAAACAATACATATCAAGCCCAAGTGGTAATGTTGAGGGTATTTGAACATTAAACCATGTAATGTGACTTACAGCATTAATAGATTGAACGAGATAAACCATACAATCACAGCAATGATCAGGGAAAAATTCCTCCTTTAAAATTCATTGTGCATTCAAGATTTTCAATAACAGTAACAACAACAAAAAATCTGTTAGCAAACTGATAGTAAAAGTGAACTTCCTTGGCTTGACAAGCAGCGCCTTTGAAAAAAAATATTCCTGATATCTGTACTTCATGAAGAACTTTTAGAAGCTTTCCTTTTAAAGTTAGGAATGAGAGAAGGATGCTTGCAGTCCCCTCTTGTGTTTAGCATTGTACTGGAGGAAATTATATACTAGGAAATGGGAAAAGAAAAATTTAAAGTCTTAATCAGAATAGAAAAAGCAGTACTCATCAGATGCTGATTCTCTCATTATTGTCCACAAAGAAAAACTAGGGGAATCTATAAACCAACTTCTTTACAGTTTTACATTTTTCTGCAGAACTTAAATTATTTATGTCATAAAGACAAATTTTAAAATAAAAAAGTGATGTAACTCTTACTTTATCCAAAAGAAGATCCTTTTTTGTAGTTGCATTTTAAAGTGTAGTTAGGAGTTTTTTAGTGATTTTTAAAGTCAAATGTGTTTTTTATTTCTAGAGCTACAGAGACCTCTGATGAAGTAGAGAGTCTGCGACCCCCTAGGTTCTTTAATGAAGATGGAGTTATCAGACCTTACAGGCTGAGGGACGGCACTGGAAATCAGATGTTACAGGTGGGTAAAGAAATATCTTCTAAATTAAGATTAGTTTAGTCCAGTCAGCTTTTTAAAAAGCAGCTATATAATGCTTTAAGTATATATTAGATTATTTGGGCTTTTGTATGTTTTTCTTAATTCCATTTATAGTTTCTTACATTTATGTAGGTCTTAAATATACATTTATTTACTATAAGATTTTTTTTCTTTTTTACAGGCATCAAAAAGTTTGATATGAAAACAGTTAATGCATGACTTTGCATGTGAAAGCCAACAGTAGATTTTAGCATTAAAATTTACAAACTACGTACAGCTGTTTCAGTATTTGAATGCAAAGAAATGCTTTCTATGTTGGTAACTTTTTGTATAGGATTTTGGGCCAGTCCGATCTTTTTATAGGGTATTCTTAGTTCCATACTGGATTTACTAGATTTGTTGAAAGCCACTGTGCCTTATGTACCCTCATAGTTGATGGTTCTTATTTGCTCAATTAGACCATTTCTATTTAGAGTACTTCCTTCTGTTTGTCAAACCACTGACAGCCTTTATACCGGCTATAATCCTCATGCCCAAGTAGGCATGGATAACGAAAAAAATCATTGTGAATTCTTGGGTTTTGCTTTTCTTTTGAAGATGTTCAAATGTCCATGACCCTCTTACTGTTTTATGCTTGTGTGGTCTATTTAAAACCCTGTGGAATTGATAAGTAATTCACATGAAAACCAGTATCTTTTAGTACGAAAAATTAGCTTTTGGAGCAGTAGACAATTTGAAGGTAAAATATTTTATCCGTTTCGATAACTTCTACTTTCTAAATTGGACCTTTTGAAATTTGGATTATGCTGTGGGTAACATACACAATATTAGGATATACCAATTCAGAGTTGTTTCTGTGGTTTAGATGTGAAACACTGAATTAAACCATTTGTTTGAAAACAAACAAGAAGTCATTCTGTTGTAGAGACTTGAAAATATTCATTGTAATAGTAAATTGTGGGAAGAGATGGTTCTTCTTTTATAGCCTTAATATTTTAAATACTGTTTTGTTTAAAGTGAACAGGGTAAAGATTTTAAAATTTAATATTTTATCCACTACATGCAGAGTTTATAATTTTTCATTAAATGTACTTCCATAAAATATAACCATTGAGTTAATATGTGATATTTAGTAAAGTAGTTTTACATTGTGTTGAAAATGTTTTTAAATGTGTTTAAAATAATTGCATATTGGAATAGAACTGGCGATTTAGAGAGGTTGTGTTCTAAAGGGCATGTTGACAAACTCTACAATGACAGTGTATCATTCTTTGGAAATGTTTCAGAAGTCGCCTATAGTTAATACAATAGAAGCGTACATTTCTACTCACAATCTGCCTTTCCTTGTTAGAACACAACATGTTACTAACATTTTACTAGACTGAAGTTATCAAATTGCCTTTTGAAAAATTAAAAATATTTCTTGAGAAAGTATTTTATAAACTTAGTAGGAAGTAAGGATGAGTAGTGAGGCAAGTTTAGACATACATCATCATTGTTAAGTAACAGATGATAAAAAAGCCATGAGATAACCAAAAATTTCTCATGGTTGATAACTTGATTTCAGAGACAAGTAAATTTGTTCTACACTTTCATTGTTTTCTAAAGCTGTAAACTTTAGGGTTTATTGACTGTATTTTTAAACTTGCCTACTATTTTTAGTAGGCCAGTATTAGCATTAATTGCTAAAAAGAGATATTTAAATGAGTAAAAATTCACAATCCTTGTCAGTCATTACTTATTTTTCAGCAACAGCACAAAGCACAGTATTAACTGGAATTCCTATAGGAATTCACCAGATGCCTTAGGATGTTCATGTTTAGCATTCCTCTCCTACAGGTGTAAGATGTGGGTTATTGCTTTAGTGGTAATAGTGCTTTTTTGAATCAAAACTCTATTATTAGCTAACACTTTAAAATATATAAATACCAGTACTGTGGCAAAGAAATAGATGACATATGAACAGTATTTAAAATCTCATCTGCCTAGATTTAATCTAAGTGACTTAATAATGTCCTTAGAAAATATTTAGTACTTCCACATGTTTGTCCTTTTATTTTCTAATTTTCTAAAAAGTGGTGCTCTGTGTTCACTAAGTTATATATGATAATTATATATGAGATACACTCTTTCATGGTGTACCTTTCTATCTAGAAAGTGGTCCAGTATTATAGTGCTTCCTAGTAGTCAGTAAAGTTGCCTACTAGAGAAATAGAATAATTCTAATATATTCATAGAATACCTTAGTTTTTTCATCCAGCTACTTTATACATTGAGTGTACCAACCAATGGAGTTTAGTCTTAAGTCTGCTACGCTATGATATACTATATCCGTAATTATTGCTCCATTCAGGACTAAAAAATCTTCAAAATTATTGACTCCTTGAAATTTTTCATAATTTTACATGTTTTCCAAGCAATTTGCCATACTTAACTAACCTTTGTGCTTCTTTTTTTCTTTACCATGCTTACAGAAAATTCAGGTCTACAGGGAGTGGATTATGGCTCACAGTAGCAGTAGTGATGATGATAATGATGATCACGATGATTAGTCAGATCTGAAATGTTAAAATTCATATGTTCTTTATCATTTTATTTGAAATCTTTCATTAACATGTTTTGTATGACTGCTACCATAATGCTCATGTGTCCATTTTTAGGGAGTTAAAAGTACTTTTTCTTCTTAAAATGTTTTCCTATACATTTTCAAACTACCAGAATTGCCTTATTTAAGCACAGAAAAATGTATTTTACATCCAAAGTAGGGCATACTATATATTATAGCATTTGCTTGTATGTATTTGTAGCTTTGTGTAACACAGTTTGTCCTTGAGATTTAAAGTTAGGCAATTTTTTTTTGATGTTAACTAGTTTCATTTTAAGTTATCTGCTTATTTGTTAGCAAAATGCTGTTTTTAATGTTCTTTGTCAATTTTCTGGGCTGTAATATAACATAATTGAGTTTAAAAAAAAGAAGGAAAGAAAAAGAATAGTAATAGCCAGTCAATATTTTATATTTACTTAGCATTTTAGAAGTAGTTTTGTCAAATTTCTTTTATAAGAATAAACATATAACTTGAAGCAATACGAATTTGTTGTTCTATTCCAAAATCATGTAGGTTGAACTACTATTATAAGAAACATTCATAATTTGTCACAAAGGTTAGATAGTGAAATAATTTATAGTCTCAGAATATAAAAAAAATTATTTTATTTGGTTCACTTTTTATTTCATTTTGTTATATATATATTTTGTGGAACAGTGAACAAAATTGGTTTTACAGTCATTATACTTATTAAGTTGCATATCCATGTGCCTGTATCCTTATTACAAAATGTTATGAATTCAAGACATGAGAAAAATTTTTATAGTAAGCATAGTTATATATATTTCTTCTGGGTAATATTGAAAAACTGTTAACTAGTTTTCTGAAAGAATAAGCAAATCTGTTTCATGTTATGTGTACTGAAGTTTTTTTTAATTTCAACTTAGATAAAACTTTTTTTATTTTTCTAGTATATCAGATGTACTTTAAAAAAAAAACTCTAAAAAATGAACGCCTATTAGTATGTTGTTTGGGGGAAAAAAAGTAGTATGATGTTTGATCCCTTATGACGGCTCTACTTTTGGATCAACAAAGGGCATTTACCTTAATTTATGTTAAACATTTTGCTTATAATGAGCTTAGATTATAGTAGATACTTGCCTTAATTGTTCAGCTTTTGGTTTAATTTATTCAGCCAATGATTTCTGAGTCTCTTCTTATTCTTAGGTTTATCAGGATTTTATCTCTATAAATCATTATTCACTATTCTTAGAAAATGACTCAAATTTTTAATATTGAGCCAACAAAAAACAAAGCTAAAAAATTCAGCTTTTTTGAAATTTCTCCTTGCCTAGCATATTTAGATTAAGTAGAAATCAAGGTTGTGTGTGCTAGGACTAAGAAAATTTGTGAATGTCAAATCATCTAATTACTGTTTTCATCAAAATATAGTACTTTTATCATTTTGGAATAAGTAAATAAATTAAAACAGTGACCATTAGAATAGTCACTACTGGTATCAGAGACAGTTTGTATTTGTCCTGCACTGCTGCTCTCTCACCCTTGGTCAAAATCAAACAAAGCCTGCAGCTTCTACTGGAAGCTAGGATTAACACAGCCTACTCTTATGTTGTGTATACCTGAGGAAAGAAGGGTCTGAATATTTCTTCACTGAATTTTTAGATCCAAATATTGCTAAGCATGAAGCCTTTCTAAAGGAGAAAATGCAAAACTGCTTGTTTGCAAGACATTTACTGAGTTTCCTGTGGTTAGTCTGTGACAATTCTATGGTATAGATTTCATAAAGATCCTTATGAATTTATCTGAAAAAAATTCTGGGTATTTTAGCAGTGACTTACCATTTTAATGAAAAGAAAGTTGGAGGTGGAATTACATTTATTTAAAATCTCTTGAACATTAAAAAGATTTAAAGCAATATTCTAGTAACTAGAAAACTTTGTCCATGTGGTCTTAGGGATTCATTCTTAAGTTTTTAGCCCTTGGAAATGACTTGTGTTCTTTAATGGTATAATTGCCCTTGTTCTTTCTGTTTTCCTGACACAGTGAAATAATCTTTTCAGGCTTCTTTGCTGACAGGTATTATTTTTCCAGTTTAAAAAATATACTTATTATGTTGCTTATATTTGAGAAAAAAGACTGAGGATAGCTCTGTTTTCTTGATGGAGATACAGGACTTCAACAAAAATATCTTCTTGTTCCTCATCAAATATGTAGAAAATGAGTTCAACTTTGGGATTTTAATGAGATGAACAGTTCTTTTATTAGTGGCTCTGTAATTAGAACTTTAAAAATGGGAAATATCCATCTAATAAAGTCGAGTGAGGAAGCCGAGTTCAAAAAATTGACTGTTTAATACCATACCTTTCCATATCCTTTATTTATATTGTGAATTTCTACGTGGTCATTGCTTATGTGTAGAAAAAGGGAAGGAGGGTTCTTTCTTCTTCCTTAAGGGAATAATCATTTATTCTTTGTTTTCCTCTGTGTCTACTTGACACTTGAATAACATATTGAAGACTGGCAGGAAGAAAAATTTATAGAAATCCTGAAATTGTAAACGCCTATCACCATGGATAAATAATCTGCTTGTAGGAGCCTATAAATGAAATTACTTGGTGCTCACATTGGGTATAGATACAAGAAATGTAAATCCAGAATAATATTGCTAACTTTCAATATTCCTTATAGAAAAGGAAGTCGGAATAAATTTCAGTTTGCTTATATATTTAAAATCGGGATTTTATAAATTTTACCTATTGAAATTGTTCAAAATATGTATCTTTGATGGAATGTTGAGTGTTGATTTTAAGGTCATGTTATTAAAATTGACAGATGGAGCCTTTGTAGATCTGTGGCTAGGAGATAAAGTTCAACATGAAATATGTGTTACTATCTTTTACGTCCCAAGTCATATACACTAGAGAATGATGACTGCAGTAATAGCTGCTATGGTAGTTTGTCTAACTTATACCCTGTGGTGAAATTTTGCCATATGCTCTCCTAGAGTGATGGGAGGAAGACCAGAAACAACCATCCCAACTTTTATTTTACTTTTCTACTGTACTTTTAAGCCTCAGTTTTTTGTTTTATAGGTTTCCTTGCATGTTTATAACTTACTATAATAGTCCAAAATATTAAAGGTACTGTGGGGTCTAAATAAGATATGCAGACTATTCATTTAGGTCAAATGATAATTATGATGAATATGTGAAAAGAATGTCAGTTTTATTTTTTATTCTATCCCTGTACCTTTGAAATAAATGGAGATCAATTTAAAATGTTTAGATTTAATTAATTTAATCTTCATTTTAGTGGATAAATGTTTGAATTCATGAAGTTCAGTGAATACAATCCATACTATACAAAACACCACAGAAAGTCCTGAATTAAAGAAGAATGAAGCACATGATTTCAGATAGGTCTGTGTTAGGGAGCTAATGAGAGTGATTTATGATGGTCATATGTGAGAGTGTATGGTTTGGTTTGTTTTAATGTAGTAGACCATTTTCATGTCCATAGTTATCTCTCAATCAACATGATAAATTTATTTAACAGTTTATCTGTATCAACCAGTATGTATATAGCAATAGTGTACCTCCAAACTTTTGCTTTAAAGTAAATGTTTAATAATTTTGTAAAATTATTCTTTCGTGTAACCTTCTTCATTGCGTATACATACTCTATGCATTGAAATGGTAACAAAGATATCTACTAAATTTTCATTATGCCATTTCTCTGGATCTTAGAGATCCTTAATTATTTGGAACATTCAAAATATAGTCATTGTGTTTTTATAAACAGATAATCAGGGTACTCAGAGGTCTAGTTAAGTATATAACTTTTTGATTGGGAATACTATGTTTTTATACTATAAATAATCTTTTATGAATAATTAAGTACATTATATCTACAAAGATTTTTTTTAATGTATTCAATAAAGCTTGGAGTTTTCTTGAATTAAAAAAAAAATTAGAGACTCATACTCATTGGAAAAGGGAAATCCCTCTTGTGAATCAGTTAACTAACATTGATTCTCAGTCTACAATTTTAGTATTTTACAGATGTGAAATTTCTCAAAAATTAGATTATTTTCTACATTGTTGAAGTATTATATGCTCAGTAAAGAAAAATAGGAATAGAAAAGAAAAAAATTACCCTGTCTCCCTACCATTTATTGTGGCATATTTCATTTTTAAATTTTATTCGTGTAATTATGATTCAAATATACAAATTTTGTTACATATTTTTGTTTTATTGGAAATTTGTATAAATAGAATTATTAACTTCTAAAGACTAAAAAAACGACCCATTTAATTCCCAATGTGGGAAACTTGGTATTTATTTCTGGAATACATTATGGCCAGCAGGACCTATATTTTTATAGCTGATGTAGAAGCTTTTCCTTTTTGATTAAACGTACTTTTACCTTTTGACTCTACCTTTCTTAGAAAAATTTACTCAACCAAATTTCCTCCTCTTAAAATTTATTTGTGTATATGTTTGTATGATCCTTGTGTTTTTCATTGTGTATGAATATTGACAGCTGGGTTGTCCCATAAGGAGAGTATTTTTTTTTTAACTGTTTGATATATTTTAAAATTTAATCTGTGTTGTCTTTGAATCGCTTACATCTCTCACAAAGATATCTTAGTTGCCATTATGTAAGTTGTTATAGAAGGGAGACTGTTGTTGTTTGTTGTATATTTCTTTTTTTTTCAGAAATTACAGATGTTTATAATTAGCTTCAAACACTGCCTTAATAGCAGTTGGAAGATAACTGCCTTCAGCTGATGTGGTCTTTCCCTTTACTTCGGAAGGAGAATTACAACTGATCTGGAAGAAAGGGCTTATCCTAGGCAGTCAGATCACCACAGTAGTGCTGAACACTCTTCCTGGCTTCATCTGAAATTTTGAGTAAGTGGACAAGAACTAGGAGACAAAGCCTTATTGGATTTCACTCTCCATTTTAAACTCTTCCTCTCCAGAAGCATACTTCTGAATGGGATGAGAAAACTGAAGAGAGCCAAATTCTGTTATCAAGACAAATAAGAGTTAGCATCTCAGATAAAGCAGATCCCATGAAAAAGAGATTACCTATCCAACTTGGATACAGTTCTCATGCCTCATTCATTAGTTTAACAGAACTCTCTTGGAGAGTCTTTGGCACATCGTCTTTGAAGGCCTATACTTTTGAACATTTAGTAGTAAATCCTGATAACTTTATTTTGGACCAATAAGAGTAATTCAGTCCACTTAGAACCTTCCAAGATTGCATAAAAATACGGTGTGAGTAAGACTTTGAGATTATGTCCTTTTCTGGAGGTGTTGGTTCCACTTAGGGGAAGTTCCAGCTTTCTCTTTGTCAAAAAAGCATAAAATGAATTTTTAAATTATTTTTTAATCCAGTAACTGAAATGACACTGATTACTGAATCTTTTTCAAGTTTGCCATCATTTCATCCCATAAATTTGTAAATATATTAAGGATAAATATTATTAAAATAGAAAATTTAGCACATTTAACTTTCAAAGAAAAATGTTACGCTCAGGTAGGTTCAACCTGAGTCTTATTTTCTACTTACCAAAGATGTGAAAATAGAGCTAAAACTCTATAGTAAGTATTAGTTTAAAGGTCTTTAACCCTTATTTAGCTAAAGGTGCTAAACTGTAACCTGGGACCCAACGCCTGACTTCTCTACTGATATGTTCACACTCTGCCTTTTAACTTTCCCTGGTTACTTTCAACAGCACAGAGATTCTCAACGTAAGTTGAGCTGAGTAAAGCTCATTCAGGTTTTTTTTAGTGTGTGCTTTGACAATGTTGTTAGAAGATTTTAGTATAAATTATGAAAATTCTATTTTTACATTAGCTGAATGTCCTATGAAAGAAAAGCTGTTCTCTTGCCAAGTAAAATAATTCATCTTCAATTCGGAATTAAATTGGAGGCCACTTTGATTCACCTAAAAACAAAATTTAATAACCTATGAAAGGAAGTACCTACCATGTATAGTTTTTTTGTCAGTTGAGTCAAATTCAAATGAAATTGATACCATAGTTACTTCTGATGATGATCCTGATGAGCTGTAATTCAGTGAAAATTTACCACTGTAAAGAGTCCTATAGGAAGCAGTGTGGAGAAATGTACAGTTAGACGTATTGTGGCAC